TACATGTATGTAATATGGTTATACTATCGTTGTTATTCATTAACACTAATTAACAGTCATCTAACAGTTCGATATTTTTAAACGTTCATATTTTTATTACGGATATGTGATAAAAATAACGTGTAAAAAAATGTCTAGCCGACCAAGAAGTTCAGCTTCTCAATATTTAGAAAAATCACATCATAGTATTCCGTGTACCCGAGAAAAACTTTTGAAAAATTTTAAAATATATTTGGAGATTTCTTATTTTCATGACACGTATTAGACCAGTGGTTTTTAACGTAGGTGGTGAACTTGTTTCGAGTGATTGGGAGACAATGAGGTAAGTTTTGAACGATAGGGTGTGTTGGTGAGCATATATTTACAGTATACGAGTATATCATTCGTAATAAGGGGTTTTTTACATTTGTAAATTGCATGATTGGTCCGTACTTGTTTTGAAAATCACGTCGATGAGACCATCACCGTCGACGGTGAACGTTACAGAACGATTAAAAGCAATTTATTTTGTCCCAAATTTAACGACATGGACCCAGATGTGGTTCTACCAGCAGGACGGTGCTACGTTTCACACAGCGTTCGCAGCAATACACATTCCGCGTGAACAATTTTAGGGTACGATTATCCCTCGCAGTGGTGTCGTGAATTGGCCACCATCATAGTGCGATTCGATCCCACTAGACTTTTTCTCGTCGGGTTTCCTGAAGTCCATGCCAATAAGACAGATAACCCCGAAGTCAACTGGGCCAGCCTATCGCTCAAATTCATCCAGATCGATGCGGCGGAGTCATTGAGAATTGGACCACTCGGGTTTGTACCACCGTGGCGAACATTTAAATTATATTATGTTCCATACACAATTGGCATACGCGGGACATTCAAAAAAAAAAAAAAAAGTGTGTTCAACTCACAGCTTGTTTTGTTGTGATGTCGACCCGCTCTTAGCGAAGCAGTATCGATCAGCGATACCTGGATAATGTGCTGCACAAACTATAAGGTTACGGTAGACGCGGTTGAAAACCATATTCAAAGTCAGTATAAATTACGTCTATGAGGCACAATTATGTTTTTTAACAAGTCGTAAATATAATTAGTAGAAAATAAAACGCAATTTTATGTCCAAGTGTAACGAGTGACTATACAAGCACACGAGCGTTTCGCCTTTTGCAAATCAGTAGCTTACTCGTAGGTCAAAATGACGATCATATCGAATTGCATTTGAAAAAAATAATGCGACATGCTTACAAGAAGTCACGGTTAAAATGCTGAATAAAACTGATCCGAATTCTACAAGCCGGTCTTGGTCGAACCCGCCACGCGGGTGATCGGAAACTTTTATCTACTATTATCAATCTCTACCTCGGCCGTGGTATAATAATGCAATTTTGCGAAAGAAAAAAATGTTTTCCAAGTATCCTTCTGTCATTGAACTATCGAAAAATATAAACGCAATGCGTTCATTCATTTTAACTGCTTCAGCACCGCGTAGTCTCCCGTTCCATCGTACATTATAATATTATACCGCGGCGCAATGGTTTCTATTTTTAAAATATAAATATATTTGTAAAAACATTCTGGAAATGTTCAGGTGAAAAAATCCGGTTAAAAACGCTACCGAAAAAATATAATTTCGAATACGTACCGCACGGAAGAGAAAGACCATTACGGACGGATTCCCTCCCCTATTCGACCGTACATGCGTCGGAAGGGTAGAATAAGCAGTAGTAGTAATAGTTGTAGTAGTAGAATTAGTAGTAAATGCAGTAGAAGTAGTAGTAGTATTAGAGGTACGGCGGCAATAGGGGTTAAAATAAAAGTTAACCCGACGTTTAGTTATTTATGTGTTTATTCCGTTTGCACTGGGACGGGACCGTCGTTGTAGCTAGAATGGGGAGGGAAGAAGCGCATGGAGGTGAAAAATAATAATAATACAACCCGATACGATTCGGTAATAGCAGCTATTTCCATTATGACAACATCGCGCGATCGCAGTTAACATGATGTACAACGATGCGTTATTATATATATATATATATATATATATACGTAACGGGAATGCGCGTACGATATTACGTGCACTCTGTATATATATATACATTACGACGGATGACAGATTTTCGTTTCGGTCAGTCGCGATTTCTCGTGGATCCGGTGCGCGGGAAGGATATATGTCCTTCGCCCTGCCTACAACAGGCCGTCCGGCTGACGTGCACAGACGAATTGTCGGTTCAAACGGCCGAGAACGTATCGTATACCTGACCTTTGAAGAGCGAGTGTTTCCGGCGGATAAATGTCTAAAATCGCGGGAAACAAATTGCACATTTCCTCGGGATCTCGACGCATACAGCTCGTATTCATCTCCTTCGCTTCATTCTCCTTCTCCCCCCCAATCCTTCACCGACCACGGATTTTTTCTTCGCAGCAATCTCCTCGCCCCCGGTGGTCGTCGTTCGCAACACACAACCACGAAAACATCATCAACAGCATTTAGAGTTTTTATTGTCACGGCCACCGATAGTTTTACCCGTCGCTATCACCCTTCGGAAAAACATTTTAACCATTAACTCCTGCACTGGAACGGCGTATTATTTCGAACGGGTACTGGTTCAAATCCGTCCATAACACAACATCTCTCCGACCCAATATCCGTTGATAGAGCAAATACACGTCAAAATTTAAACTATCGGTCGATCGTTCCGTCGTGATCACTTTTAAATGTCTAAAAGGCTAATAAACTAATAATAAAAAAACAGAAAAACCGTTTTTATGCGTCTAAAGGCCTAGGGTGGTGATAAAATAAAAAACGAATTAGCACATCGTACAAACGTCCGTGTTATATATTTTCTAAATCATTTTCCAGTAGCCATGGACTATTCTTGAGGGGAAACCGAGTTTCAAAGTCTTTCCCGACGGACCTCGTCACTGATATCTACGCATGCAGCACCTGTGTACAAGTGGCTCGTGGTTGATGTAGCTGATTCGTCGGTTTTTGTTTTCCAAACGTCCTTTTGATACCGCTATCGATCTCGGTCGTTGAATAATTTCTGTTCACTTTTTTGTTCCTCTTTAAAACACTACGTAAACACTACCGTTTGTAGTGCAGACGACGGGGCGTCGGCGCGTTGCGTTCGTATCGCATTATTTATTTTAATACCGCACGAATGAAACGTTTCATTTTCGTATTACTTATGTGATCAACCGTTTATTGATGTCGGTCAAAGCAGTTGGTAAATAACTTCCAGCGGCGGTGCGATGCGATTGATAGTCGAATGTGTACTTCAAACGTTATTCGAGTCCAAATGGCAAACGCAGTAACTCGAATCCGAACGTGCTTCGTCCACCACCGTGACTTTATTTTTCAAGACGCTTGTAAACCTTCATTTGTCGAAAAACGGCCATGCACTAGATTTGAAATTCAAACTCCGAGACGATACGGTCAATTTTGTTACTTTTGAAAACATTTCGCACGGTATTCAAACGAACAGTACACGAGCACAACCTTATTGTGTCACATAACCTTTTTGGCGATCAAACAATTGTAAACTCCCCCAAAAAGTGCAATGGTAAGTTCCTCTAACATTAAATTCCCCTAGGAGCATTTTGATACTGAATACATACACGTACGTAAACTCCCCTGAAAATATTTGACTACTGAATTATACGTACCTATATAAACATAGTAAAACTCCCTGAAACATATATTGCTGCTGAATTCATGCTAATTATATTCTATTACGTTAGGTATTTATACATCATAAACTTATATATTTTTATATTAGAATCATTTGGCGTTACCCAGTGAACACCACGTAAAGGTTGTCCCATTGTTCTCCAAAAATTGTTTTTTTTTTTCTTGTATTAGTATTTTTAATTTGCATTTTTGTAGCTATATCAATTAATAATTTTTTATTATAATCGTCAATAGTTCTTGTTATTAACGTTTAAATGAGTAATAATGTGAAAATGATTTAGTTTATTTAGTTTATTCGTTATTTAACATATTCATTGTACAGAGATAAATTTAATCATGGGATTTACAAAGTCCAATGTTTGAAAAAAATGTTTTGTTGAACATAAAATTACGTTAAATAGAAGTTTGTTATAGGATAGTTTAAATTTTAAGTTTAGGGGAGTTTATAATTCAGTAGCAAAATATTTTTAGGAAAATGTACAATACTGTATGGGAGTTTACATGCGTCCATCCTGTTCATTGTTCGTGCATTGTGCATTTGAACGGAACCGACGACGACATCGACACAACGAAAATCATTGTAACAATAATAAGAACGATAATAATCGGTAATTAGTACAGCGGATATCCGCTTACCGCCATCGGATATCGTTGCACGCGTTACGTCTCGAAACGAAACTTTTCGTAAATACATTTTTATTTTCAATACGCTCGAATACAACATAGTGGGACAATATTATTGTGGTGACCTTCATTACAGGGCCCAGTAGTAGGCACAACTCGCTTGTATTCCGCGAGTACCCATGATTCCTACGGATTTCGCCAATATCGGTCAAAAGACAGCAGTTTCCAAAGTTTCATTTGACTTCTCGATAAATAAGTCCCAGGGCGAAACATTCTCTTTGGTGGGTATTGACTTGAGAAAGGAGTGTTTTTCCCACGAGCGGTTATATGTTGGCTTATCTCGAGTTGGAACTCGACATAATCAATACATTTTGCTACCAAACAATAGCACGACATCAAAAATAGTATACAGATAAGTCTCGAACAATTAGCATACTCGCCTAGTACATATTTGCCATTTCAAAATGAAATAAAATAAAACAGATTGAAAACACTGAGTACTAACAACATAATTTCATCACAAGTAAATATGTTCGACGCCCAGCGAAGTGGATACGGCTAGTGTAAATTTATTATTTGATAAACTTTTAATATTATCAATTATTATTACTAAAACGGTTACAGATTAAATTATAGATTGTTATTATTACATCATTAATAATTATAAAACGTTGTACCATTATTAATACTTTTAACTGTCAACAATTTTAAATGACGATTGACGATTTTATTTTTTACATAATTATTTTTTACAGTCCCGATATCATAGACTTAACATGAATTTATAAATTGGTCAATATTTAAAGTATACACCATACGATAACCTTATAAATTAATTTATTTTCAATAATTTGTTATCTAATCTATCCAGCTTCAGCCTGGTCGGTTTTTAATTAATTTTTAATAATTGTTTTTATTATTTTACGGTACAAAAATCTATAAAATGTGTAAATACGTTTTAAATTTCACCAAGTACTAATCGGTGCACAATTATTTTGATAACACAAATAGATCCGATGCAATGTACCATTCTTCCGGATTTTACATTGCGTTTTCCTATACCGAAGTGTTCTCGTCGATATGCACATCCAAACTCTCTAAGTATTTGTAAACCTGTACGGGCGTAATCATACCGTAAACGCGTTGGAACGAATCTAAGTCGCAGCAATAGACCGGGTTCGGAGCCTTGAACAGCTCGGCACCGGCGTTATCGGACCTGTAACCATTCTGGCACAGGTTCTCGCACAGGAACGAAAACTCCTCGTCTTTCAGGTACGGGTTGTTCGTGCCCAAGAATACGATTCCGCCCTTATCGTCTACGTTGTACAATAGTTTCCAGAAGACCATCGGTACCGTTATCTCCCCATTTTCAGACAGGGACAGATGGCGGTATACGTTGTTCTTGTCGCGCAGCTTGCACGAGCCGTACACGCCGGACACGAACATGTATCTGTTACCGGTCTGGAAGACCATATCCCGCAGCGATTCTTCCAGTAAGGCCCAACGGTCGTCGTCGAACTTTTTCCACCGGGGGGCCGTGTTCACGTAGTAAAACCTGCGACCGAACAAAAACCGTACGATGAATGCATGTTGTAACACGTTAAATCCTACCGCGATCAATCGACGTACGGAAACGATAGGTTATTGTCGACGGTTTTTAGGATTATTCGTTGCCGCGATACAGCAGAAACGTGCGTACGCGATAGGGGGCTACTGAACATTACTTGTTTATGAGAAATATGGAAGGCGTTTAATCACGTTTCGGTACAAATCGGCACCGTGTTAAACGGACCGGTATGGATATGTTATAAATACGTTAATCCGTACGTTTTATGATGTAGTTCGTAGAATAATTTTAAAATCGATTCTTAGTGACGACGCGTTTGCATAATTATTAATTAAACATCTTTATGTACGTCATTAATATGTATTACACGAATTTTTTTCGTAAATATAAAGCTTATCACGTACATGTATGTCATAGAATAATTATTTTAATGTACTGTAATATTTAACACTAATATTTGCGTTTATCAATGTTGTACCAACGACAGTTGCACTTACGCTGCAAGCTGTTCGAAAACGTAGTAAAAATCTTTTGAGGAAGCCAATTGACCTTTGATCAGATATTTATCCTCTTCACGTTTTACGTATTTTTCCGCTAATTCCTTATTTTTGAGAAACTCGCCGATAATGTAAGTCTAAAAAAAAATTAAATCATTACTATTTATTACATATAATTTTAATACGTGTCATATAATATAGCGTTAAGTTTAATACTTAACATTATTGATTTCATTACGAACTAAGTTAATTGAATCCAAGACTGAATTTCCGTACAATGAGCTTTTTCTATATTATATTTTTATTAATACACTGTTGACACGTATGTATAAAAAAGAAAAAAAATTAATTTCATGTTTTAACCTTATACGATTTCAGTAAATATTTTAAAAATATATTTTATATTTTTATCTAAGGCACTGCAAAGTTATGAAAAATGTTAATTCGGTATGTTTGTTGACGGAAAAATATTATTACGAGTATGTTATACCTTATAAGTCACAGAAATATATATGTTTAGCAAAAACATTTATTCCTTCGATTTTATCAACTGTCTACAGTAGTGCTTACAACATAATAATGAGAGTTTTAAGCAATTTATCACTGAATATGTAGTATGTTTAAGATACTTTTACTTTTAATAATAAAATAAGTAATTTGTACGGGCAAAAGAAATTATTGAATTATTATTTTGTAACTGATACCCTACTGGAGCCTCTAAATGTTGAGGTAGTGTCTATCATCATTATATTGTATCCTATGCCTTACTTGATTTTCGACGGTGTACAATGTGTCCAAGTCCATGTGGCCGTACAAATCTTCTGATTGGAAGAACTTTTTTGCCTCGTATTCTTTGCTCGTTCTCATGAACGGTAATCTAGCACTGTACCACGTATATAAAGTGTCCTTGGTCTTGGGGTTAAAGCAAATTGTGTAAACCGGGATAAGTCCTTTTCTTATGGTAAAACCGACCGCGTACACATCGTATTGGCCCGAATGGCACGATGCATTAACAAAAATGAAATCCGCCGAGGGAGTTGATTCGCACTCCAACTCATTAAAGTGGTAATTATGACCTTCGAATTCGAGATTATTGTATCCCACGCAGCGGACTGTTAGTTCGTCCAAATGTTTTATGCGGTCATGCGAAAATCGAGATTTCGTGCACGATAGTCTAAGGATATCATCTTTTCTCAATAACATCATATCTTTCAAGGATGGATAATGGATCATGGGCATTTGAGTATCACCATACGTCTTGAAAGGAACAGGCATTTTCTCATTATCATTGACCATGGACAGGACACAATAATTTGCCAATTCGGGTACAACCAACTTTCCTATAACATCAAGTTTTATTTTTTTATTTTTGTGTAGCTTGGTGAAAGAAGGGACAACGTCATATTATGATGTGATTGAAATTATTGGGCAATTATTATTGTAGTTAAATAGAAAATAAGTTACAATAAAAAAGAAACCCAAAAACCTAACCTAACCTAACATAATTTTTTGAATTCCTACATTAAATTTAAAACATCCATACATTAAAAATTGGTCAATTTAATGTTTTTACTCATGGAAATTGTTCTAATATGTTATTGCCTTTATTTGTACTAAGCCACAGATTTATAGTATATATATGTTACGGGGAATGTTAACATTTGGATAATGTCGACATTATCCGGCTAATGTCAACATTAGCCATCTGTTGTGGCTATTGTGTAATTTTTCGTGTGTAAACAGGAATTATTAACATTATCTGGCTAATGTTAACCTTAACCAGTTAATATTGGATAATGTTAAAATTTGTATATTAAATAGACTATAGAGTTTTCATTAGCATTCTATACAATAATAAAGCATCGCACTTCCAGAATATCGCTTAGTTAATACCAACACGCGTCATTTGGTACAGTGACCAAGGATGATAAATAAATTATCGTAGTTTTATTTAATAATTCCTAAACTATTAATAAATATAAATAAATTTAATATAAATTAAATTATAAATAAATCAATTGAAAATTCTCATAATATATTATTATACTTATAATTATTATCTATTTACTTTTGATTTTTTTGTTCCAATGACACTATGAGTACTCAGTTGAGATGTTTTCGCCACTTCCTTCAAATCATTTATATATTACCTAAATTTTAATTTAGATACATCAGGCACATGGTTATACTCAACATATTTAATAATCGTATCATTTCTTGTGTGAACGTGACCGCGACAAGTAAATTATTTATAATCATTACGTTTCCATATAATTTTTTCGTCGCCATCTTTTACTTTTCGGTGCCCATGATTATTTTAAATTAATAATTTTTTATTTTTTTGGCTTAAAATATAATTTAGCGACATTATTAACATTTTAACAGAACACTCCGTACGTGGCCGTAACATATGGTTAACACGTATAAATCGAATCAAACGTTTATATTTTTAATTTATAATATAAAATGAAATTCAATAATGTATCATCAGTAGTTTAGATTATTAAAAATAAAAAATAAATTCATATTAATAATATTATGTATTTTATGGTAATTACTAATTTATTGTATGTTAAATATATTTAATATTTTTAATGACTTACAATGATTTTATCACATGCACGTTAAATTTTTATGGTTGTTAAGACATTATCCAAAATTTCTTAACTAATGTCATATTATCAAGTTAATGTTAAAATTAGCCAACATTCATGGTGAGTAATGATAACAATTGGCATTGGCGCCGACTTGTATTTTATTTGATGGGGCAAAATATAAAAATTTGTTAATACCACCACCCAAAAAGTTAGAGCAAAATAATGATAGGTTACATGATTGAATGATTATATTGTAAATTTAACCATCATAAAGTCGTTCGCTTCGTTCGCAATTTATTACTCCAATTTCATCTATTAGGTAAGTACTATTCAGCAATGACGTATCCATAGGAGGGAGGGGTGGTAGAGGGTTATAACCTATATCCCGCACTATTAAGTCTATTTTAGAATATGACTGTATGTATTGTTAAATGTGCAGCTTAAAACAGCTCATAATATTAATAATATAAATTATGATCGAATAAAATCCCTATAATCAAACAGACTGAAAATGAGAGTTATAAATTAGGTATTAATTATTAATTATTTACCTTGCTTATTGCTTACCTACTTCATAGTGGTTTAAGAAAAAGAAAACACTTAATATAAATTTGAAGCGTATATAAATATAGGTTTATTTATTTAAATATTAAACACGTTATTAAAATTAAAGAAATATAAAACAAAAAACAGTTTATTTCATTTTTTAAACAACTTTAATTTAAAAAAAAGATGTTTCAAAAATGTTTCACGGAGCTATTGATAATTTAAGTAAAATTTAATGTTTAAAAGATGTATTTGCATGCTGTATAATTACTTTTAAACACTGAGAACCGAGAGGCATTTAGCTTCATCGTGTGTGCGAAATAGATATAAATGTCAATGTACCGTCTTTATACTTGATTTAGTATAAAAACATGCATTGATAGACGAATTGCTCTATCGCATCATAGTATCCTACCATCTACATATCGATTGTCGCTTAATTTATATATTCCTAAGATTTACTAACTAGAGTGTACATTTATCCATCCCACATCTACTCAAATACCAGACACCCACCACCATAGTTAAACGAAGGGGTGAACTGCCCCATAAAAGTACGCGCTCGGTGCCACTGTCAGTTGGCTAATGTCGACTTTATCCGGGATAATATCGAAATTATCCAAATGTTAACATTACCGGTAACATACGTAATAATTTATGTAGGTATTATAATACAATATAAATTCAAAACATCTTTTATCGAAAAGTTCGTTGATTATGCGACGAGTGAATATGTGAGATCGATTTTCAATGATAAAAAATTTCTGAAATTGTTTCCTCAGATTTTCCAAGGTTTTTTTTTTTTTTAGAAATACTTTTGTGTTCAATCTCAAAAAAAAAATGGTATTAATTGGTTTTGAACTGAATGCAAATGGTGTAATATAATATCAATTTAAGCTAACGGTTCTTAATAATTTGCAGGATGCGAATTGCTTTAAAAATACATGTCGAGACCTTCAAGGTAATTATCAAAAAAAAACATTTGTTCACTTATTTTTTTTTTATAATTTTTCGATATAATTTAATAACACTTACGTATATTGTTTATGTGTACGACTAGGAAGATGTCAGATTTAGAAACCCCTGATATGAATGTCGTTGAACTAAATGACATAAGATTTTTTTACGGATAAATACATTAAATTATCGAACTAAAATGTTGAATTATTCCGCTTGATCGTTGACTTTTTAAATAACTATTCTGAGTGAAATATATCAGGCAGATCAGTATATACTTCTAATTTAGATGATATAATTGAAAAAACAAAATGTATTTAAAATATGAGATAGGTTGAACTTTTAACGTTCTTACTTTTGCAAAAAAAAAAAAAAACGTGAGTAAGAAAATTATATCGAATTGCTATTATGCTCTACCTGTAGGTACTAGAGTATTATCAAACTACAATAAATTAAAATTTGGGAAAAATTGAAAGTTTCAAATGCACAAAAATAAAAAAATAAAAAATAGCACAAATTAAATAATATTTTTTTAAAATTATAAAACGTATTTAAAATGCTAATATAAGTATTCAATAAACGTTTCAAGTTGTTAATATTTTTTATCGATATTTATAAAATTTTTATACTTAATTAAGATGTTTATAATATTTATAAAAAAAAAAGAACAATTGTATTACTAAAAATTACTATTATAAAATCGAAATTCGTTATAATATCCGATTTGGTCAGAATGTATTACTATAAACTTTTTTGTGACATTTCAGACAAAAATTGTATTCTTAGTTGTAGAGAAATTGTTATAAAAACATTATATCCAATTTTAAAGCCATAAGTATGAAATTGAAAATTTTAACTAAAAAATATCCAATTGGATAAAATTTCCTACCAAAAACAGTCTATGATTGTAATCATCGGAGGAACAGTCCTTCTAGTCGAAATCGAATTTTCAGATGCTAAAAAAGTATTCACATATCGTGATATAATCAATACATTTCTCGTTTCTCTCATAATACAAAACTGAGAGCCATTAAAAAGTACAAGTTTCTTTGTTATTGTTAATCAGTAAAGAATTTTTAAAATTATGTATAAAAAAAAATACTGCCATGTTATAATAAATATTATAATTAAAAAGAAAAATATTTATCTTACCGTTTTCATTTTTAATAAATGGATTGTCCTCAGAATATATTTCCGTTGGACATAGACACGAAATAATAACTAATACAGAGAGTTTAAGCAAATGCATTTTTATATATTTTGTATAACTTCACTGTTATGACTGGTCATTTCTCAGTTTGTCTTTCCTTTGGTGATTTCTTCATCTTTTTCTTATCATTCACACGAGGTCAGCCAACAGTTGACAATACTGAAAATTAATTTGTGGTATATTATCTTATGACTAAATTAATAACCAGTGTTTAAAGCAAATTAAATTGCTGTAATTATATGTATTATATAATTAATATTATCACACAAAAATAATAAATGGATTAAGTTAAATGGTTATATTTTATGTTATCATTCGTGGAAATGAGCTAATAATTTGTTCATTGTTTCTGAATTTTAAAATTATGAGAGTCACTTGAATTCGTTAAATGTAATTGGGGTGCTGGACGCGAGAAGGGCCTTTTCACGAAAATAGCATTTTTCCTTAAAATGTTTTTCTTTTTTGAAATTTTATAGAGCACAGAAGAAGTGTTAACTTAAATATATGTGAATGCTGTTCTTACATAGAACCATACATGTTTCTTAAATTTAATAATATTATTATTTTAGATACATTTCAGTGATTCAAAAATAGTGTAATGTTTTTGTAATGTTATTTGTGTTCTTTTTCTAAACATATGAATACAGTTATGAAATTATAGTTTTCAATCATTTTCAATGAAATATAATAGATATATATTACTTGAGCGCAAATTATAATGCCCTAAAAAATACCTTAAAATGCATTAGAAAAAATGTAATTATGACCTAAAAAATTTAATTAATGACTACCAAAATTGCTACCAAATATGCACTAAAATGTTTTTATCTTATTTTATCAATGATTTCTGCATACGTAGTCCGTATAGTTGTTATTGTCATTGACTATTATAACATAATTTAATGATATCACGACAACATAAAACGATAAAACTTATTATTTATTTAGTACTTAATGTTATAGGAAGAGAAGTGCCTTTACGAAGAGTAAATGTTACGTGCAATGATTTAGAGTATTGATTTTGACTCTCCATTTAGTATAACAGGTAAATAATAGGCTGAGGTGATTTTTAAGGTGATTTAAGACTTAGGTAGGGTCATTATAGGTAGTAAAACAGCTTTGTCATCGGCGTCTTCTGCTACAGAAGTTTTTAGAGTGGTTGGTTAGTCGGCAAAGAAAATGTTGAACAGAACTGGAGATATTAATGCTCTCTAAGGGAATACGGCGAGAAATAGAGATAGTTCTGAAATGTCAGCACCCACGCGAGTGGCGAAGTGGCGGTGTTTGAGGTATGATTCGAAGAACAGAAAGTAAGGGGGAGTTAATGTTTTTTTTTAATTTAAACAGGAGGCCAGAATGCCATACGCGATCAAACGCTTGGGCGACATCTAAGAATACCGTGGAGCAATACATTTTTTTTTCTAGTGTTAAACAGATGGTATAAATTATACGGTTGATTTGGTGGATGGTTGAATGGGAGTTACGGAATTTAAATTGGGTATCAGTCAGTATCTGCTTTTTATTAATAATGGCAAAATAGGCATAATGCGTTAATGAATACAATTTTCGCATAGTTTTGAAAAGAACGGTAAAATACTGATAGACCGGTATGAAGAGGGATTTTCAGTTGGTTCATCCGGTTTAGGAAATAAGATGATAATGGAGACTTTCCATTATAAGGGAAAATGAGAGAGCCTGAATATTGAATTTATTGTATATGTAAGGAGTATAATTGCTTTTTTGGGGTGTTGACGTGCTATTTCGGCGGTGATTAGATCAAAACCCGGGGATTTTCGAAGTGTAAATGATAGTGTACAATTTAATGTGAATTTAAAAACGTATATCAGTCAAAAATAATCTCTAGATTTCTAATTCATATTACTCATTTAACAGTACAATTATTAATTTTTCTAATTATGGATTATTTGATTAACTAATATTGAAAAGTTAATAACATTATATCTACTAACAATGAGTCGAAATCTCGTGACCAATTTTCTTTCTAGATCACGATGAACATGATCCTCACTTCTATAGTTGTAGTTGAGACATAACATTCATCTAAATATACACCAATGTATTCTATCAGATCCGTCTTTGTTTATGCAGGGGCCCTTGAGCACACAGAATTTAGGAGCTTTTTTAAAGACAAATTACGAATATTATTTTATGTTACTTATTAATTATCATATTAAAAGAAACATTTGGAATTCGAAACGATTTTTTTATACCTAACTATTCATTCATAAACGTATCAATGATGTTATTTTATCACGAAAATATATAAATAAATAACCTTATGTCCGACCGCACTGTACGTCGATAACTTGTTATCAATCAAATGTATTAAAATATTAAAAAATTAACCGTTGTATTCATAGCGTTTGAATGTTGAGATAATATAATAAATTAATCAATATAGTTAAAATCCATAATAATAAAATAATATAATAAAAATAACTACCTAACCTACATTTATAAATATATAATATTTTATAATCAATATAATTAAAAGTCCATCGTCGTGTAAGATTATGCCACGCACTATTATATTTGATATGTTATTGTAAATTCGTAATAATCAAATTGATATTTGAAACAATAAATTTTTATTTGAACAACCATTGGTTAATTCATTTTGAGGACTTTCAAACAATATTTCTCGACCTCTAGGTTGAAAACCACGGCTCTACACGATTTTTATCGAAGGAAACCATTATAAAATGTATACTATAAATGATTTTACAATTATAAATATCAAATGAAATATTTATTAAATGTTAATCGAATAATTACCTTCTTATCTTCATACTTCAATATTAATGATAACAACAGCAAGTTTTATTTATGTTTGAATTAAATTTCAAATGCACAGAATATTCACGTTCATGATTCATCGCGTTCATAATGTCATGAAAAAATTAATCATAATCACCGATTTTATCTCGATAGAACGTGCAATAGTTGTGCAATTATTTTAATTACCATTAAATACACATTTTCAAAAACTTTAAAAATTCATAATAAATCAATGGTTAAACTTTTTCAAGTCATTTTAAAACCATACTTTTTCTAAAAAACCGATTTACAAAAAGGCTATTTTGGATTTTTTCCCAAATTGTAGAATAAAATTTGAAAAATTTCCAATTAGAGTTCTAAATATCAAAAAAAAACTCGTATATATTTACGTTTACCACTAATTAGTGGTTTTTTGGAAAGATACACGGAACAATCGAAACGGTATACGAGGGATTGTATATATCCTCCTTGTGTTTTTTTATCCAATTATAAGCCCCGCCGCAGAACGGATCGATTTCAACATGACGTCACCTGCAACAAACGAGCCACCAAAACAATCGAACGCAATAAATAAACAAAAACTATACACTGAACGATATATGAATATTATATTATTAGGTTTTTTTTTTTTTTTCCGATCACCGGCGCACGGCGACAGACCGAACGGTGTCATTTTTGAATATGGTACCATATCGTTACGATATCGGAACCAAACGTCACACACGTAATATTTTTAGGTAATTTTAATTCGGCCGCGGCCGGGCCAGGATCATACGCGGAACACCCCGTCTTGCTACGGACGTTTATGATGTTTTAGCTTGTGTAATCTTAATGGCGCGCACAATTTATGGATTCTATTTTCAACGGGGAAATATTATGCTAATATGTTTTGACGTCAAATATTTCCACTTCCCCCGGAAGAATACTGCACTAACCATTTCACTTGTAAGAATCGTACGACGGTCCCGTGCAAGTTGTACGCAACGCGCTTTATTTTTTTATTTTTTTTCCCGACAGTTTCATCACGGACGATCATCGATGTGTCCGATGACACCGCTGTGCGAATGGGGGTTTTTTTCGTCAACGGGACCGGTTCGCGTGAACGTGTAAGGAAAACGTTCGAGAAACGGTGTCGTCGCAACACCGGCGGACAACACCGTCGTTGCCGCGCGTTGAACCGCAATCGAAACGTTTTGTCAGACCGTTTCGTCAGCCGAACCACTTGTTCATCGGTATCGTAACGAACAATCATCCACAACGTGGTTATATCAACATCGTTGATTCGAAGGACTTTTTACCGTTGCCGAGACTGTGAAAAATAAGACTGAAAATATTAAAAAAAAAAACGACGTATAAACGGTTTTTTCACCGTCTTCTCGCGAGGACAAAGCACGGGCGTCAGACTTTTCATTAACATTTTTAATTGTTTTTCCGGCGAACGTTATGCAAATGAGTCTGTACCAGGGTTTTGAATGGTCCGACGGCCAAAAAAGGTTATTGATCCGAAAAATCCATACTACTCTTGTGCACGGAGCGCATTTCATAGGTTTCATGTTGTTTTTCCGCGCATCCGTTAAACGGTTGTTTCATAGAAAAGTATTTCGGTGGATTTGGTTCGAATAATAATCAAGATTTTTTAAATAATTGTAAAATATACCACAATCGAACGTAAAAAATACTTTTCGATGCTGAAAAATCATATGATTTGATTGTTCTTTTTTTTTTTTTCAACCTTTGATGATCATTACTTAAAAATAATTTTCCTTACGAGTAATACTTGTTTTTACTTGTTTTTCTAACAATCTCTGACCGTCGAATATCAACGGTCTCAAAATGTGATTCGTTTGTGTGCTACAATGAAAAAGGGATATTTCGATGTTAATGGAAACGCGCGCAACTTTTATTTATTCGTACAACACGCACACGTTAATGAACAGGAATATTATTCAATTAAATGTTCATTAAATAATCGACGATGGTTGTCGGGGGAGAGGAGGAATAAATAAAATAAATTCTGGAAACAAAATATCCATTAAAAATGTATCGTTCCATTATCACGGTCACGTGTACAAATGGTTTTGAAAAACAGTTTGATGAGACGAGTGATTAATTTAACGGTTCGCGCCGATAACGGTACACTGTCCGATCAAAGTGCCGCGGATTTCTCGTTTACAAATTAAAGAACCCATTACGCTAATGGAAGTTGACAAAACGTAACCGTGGCGCACAAGAGGAGTTAAGTAACCCGTTTAAATTGCAATTATTCATAAGCTGCGCGCGATCAATTATACACACAACGATGCCGTTGCAAGTATAAATATTTACCAACGAATCGCGCCCCCGGCGTATAGGTTATATAATGCAACCCGTGGTGCACCGATCGTTCGCGATCGGTCAGCAGCTGACGTGTCCAGAACTCATTCAGCAGGTCGTGCACGAACACACAAGTTTCCCATTGAAACAGCGACCAGAAATCTTTTCCAGCATCCTATTCACTCGGGATGGTAGATATACAAACGCGGTACCGGAGAAACCGAAAGACGAAATACCATCATCAGATTATGAAAAAATCGTTTTTACTTCATGACGTGAGTTCGAGTACAAACGTTCTTGACTCCTACTACGGTTCTAAACGTCGTTTCGTGGGTTCGCAACATCGAACCAACATTAATCGATCGAACGATTTAAATTGAATCTTGCAACGTCTCGCCTGAGGTAGGTGATGGGTATCGGTCCATGTAAGAATTAATACGATTATAAGACGTTTTAGACCTTGGAATCGTTTGCATATCGGAACTCGTGGCGTTTGAAATCCGTGCTTTTTGATAATATCGTTTTAGGGTCACTCAGTTACTTTGATTCCCGTAAACCTACGCGCGCACACCAATAGAGTTTAAATATGAGAACCTAGTTGTAAGATATAACACGAAGAAACACAACAATTATCTCCACAATCACATTGTATCATCATTCCACGTTACGTTTCCTTGCATAGTTCTATAAATCAAAAAATATAGTACACTCACGTGAAGTTGTAGTGATAATCCATTTACGTGTCAGTTGAAATACATGCACAAGTCTTCTAATCGTTCGTTGCACTCGCATCTGAAACAATTTAATTGCTTTGATCAAAACGTTGAGCAAATTATTAATTAAAGCGCTAAAAATGTCAACAAATACTCATTGGCGTAACTTGGAAATTTATTACGCGGAGAGGGACAAAAATATAATTAAATATCTAACGAAAAGATTGTCCAAGGCTAAACGCCGCTTTACTACCTACATATTATTATATAAAATTATTCATTTATTAACATTATGTTAGATAAGCGGAAATTTAAAATTAAGATTTAAAAAAAAAAAATGTTATAGTAATAGCTATAACCAGCTGTTTTGTACTTATTTTAAAACAAGGTATGTTAAATATCAGATGAGGCACAGTCCCTCCTTATTTATTCTAGGGGGCGATTGCCTCCCCTTGCCCCCCCCCCCCAGTTTACGTCTATGCAAACACCAATTATCGTTTCGAGGTGAATACTATGTAAAATAAATAGTCTACACTTACAAATTTGTTTTAAAACACCGTTCAATAATATCAATAAACAAAATATTATTTTGTTAAAATATACTTTCAAACTGTCCAATCTTAAAAAAGTTTTAATCGCTTCAAGATTTAATTGCTCAATCGAATGAACAACTTTTATGATAGAAATAATCTTCGGATGTATAACCACGTGTATTGAACATTAATGATCCATAAAAAAACTATTGTTATTGTTTTAGTATTGTAAGACGCGTAAACCGAAACGGCTAATCATTTTTTTTTTTTCATTTACTGCGTGTTATTGCCGGATCTCCCATTTATTGGTATTTTCCTCTAAAATACTCCTGCACACCTCCACGGAATATCTGTAAACTTAACGACATGTTGATAGTTGATATTTTTTTAAGGTAATCTCATGAAATCGGAGCGAATACCTTTTTCAACAAAAAATAAGTCCAAAATCACTTTTCTAAATGTTGGAGCACGCCATTAGTACAATTTATATACTTATTATTGTCGGGGATAATGAAAAGTAATTTTTTTAAAACTCTTTGTATAACTATGTTTTACTTAACTTTTTTTTTTACATAATTCTTTTACCTATTATCATTTTTATGGCATATCGTGTCTATTTGTACTCGATTATAATACTGGCGTTCATCTCATGAAGTTCTTTTCCTGTACGATCTTCGTGAGGATCCAACGTTTTCAACATCCGATTGGTTAAAGTATCGTTGTTATAACGACCACATTTTAATAAGATTTCATATATTTTTCTTATTATTATCGTTAATGTTGTTCTGGCTTAAAACAGTATAAGTTTTTTGGTCGTACAAAACAAATCAACAAATATATACCACACATGATAACATCTTATATCATCAATGATAAATCTATGATAACATAAAAGTTGCGGAAAGTTTTAACTTAAATATTCTAACAATTAGTATCCATTCAAAGATCTTAAGTATTTAAAACTGTAAGTTCGACGGATAAATTAAACCGATTGGCGTTCGACATGACAGAAGAAATCGCGATTCCGACGATGAATGTTTATGCAAAAAGAATGAATCACGATTGAAAATAAACGAAGCCGTTCATTCGTTCCATATGCGGAACAACACGGGGGCGTAAACCGCGAATACTATGACTTATGCGTTTATGACATTTGTTTAAACATTTGTACCGCAACTTTTCTCGATGCACTCGAGAACACGGGACGATAATGAGACGTTTTCGAAAACAATGCGATCGTACTGCGTCAAAAAATTGTGTAGCGCAGCAATCGGATGCCATGTTCTCAGATCGCAGGGCCAACGTTAAGAGGAGGCAAAACGGGGTATTTATTCAGGGTCTCGCGCTTAAAATTTTTATTGAAAAATATTTTATACAGAAATCTCATAAAATAAAACGTAAAATGTGTGGATCGCCTGGCGATTGCAATTTTCAAAAAAATCCGTTGGCATGTAATAAAAAACTAATTAACTAAATAACAATATTATATTTAATATTTCATGTATGGACCAACGACGACCCGTACGGCACGCAGCACAGTATGGAAACCGGGAGGCATAGGAAATTTATTTTTATTACATTTCTTAAATTTAATCAGTCATTACCCGATATCGCGTGCAGCTATCACCGAGTCTGATTACATCGCCTTTAATTGCGGCCTACAGGCTATACAGGTGACGACTATTGTTGTGGGTAAAATAAGTTTGATCCAGGGCCTCACAAAAGGTAACGCCGGCCCTGTCAGACCATACGACGACTGCTTAAGGTATTGCGGTCGCGCGAACGCGACCGACGGGTCTAAGATTTCGCGTTCCGACGACCGACGAATACTCGGCAGCTGCTCGCGAAGGTCGAAGATACTGCGACAGTGGTCACCGGGCATGCGCAAAGGAGACCGGAGAAAAAGGAGACATCGTGGGCGGACGCTCAGACAAACGATTTCTGGGTTCAGCGGTCCCACACGACCGACTCCTTGATACCGATGACGGTGTGCAATGACATTCGCTGAAGAGCAATAATAACGAATGGCTATAAACAGTCCGTTTGTTCGTCTTATTCCCTTAGGTGTCTCGTTTCGCCTCTCCCCCCCCCCCCCCCCGGTTTCCCTTTAAGTGTACAAATTTACATATCATTTTCACTTTCTCGTCTCGTCGACGACGTGCATTATTGTTTCAAACGGAACGCTCGAAAACCAAATCCAGTTCGGGTCACCTGGTATCGACGCGCTTCGAGTGCAGCGGACGATTACGATTACGATCTTCATCGTTTTAATTACACGAGAACGGTGCGCGCGTTTTTACGGGTCACCGAGTCGAATGCCGTTCTTGTTCGCCACCATCTCGGCCTCGAGGGGTCCTGCTCGAGTCCAATTTAACGGCGTTTGCGTCTCACGCGCATTATACAAACGCACGTCTAGTTAATTTCAACCGGGAAGATCGGTCGATTCCGAGTCGGTCTCCACCCTCGTTTACGGGGTGGTTTCTTCGGACGAGTACCGGTCCGAAAGTTCACAACGTTATCCAACGTGATAGAATGATTGATTATGAGGTAGTACGATGGTACTGTAACTACCTTTTTGTGATGCAAGACAGTTTGAAAATTACAAAAAAAAAAAAAAAAAAACATTTTAAGTACACAAATATATTTAGAACAATTAATCAAAAATGCGTTTTTCCGATTAAAAATGAATTCCGATAGTAAAAGTTAGTACGTTACATTTTAGTATGTTGTATTTTGACTGCAATTTGTTTGAAATCTAATTAATACGAAAGCACGGACACACAAAGATCGTGAAAACAGTATACCTTCGCATATAAATCGATCAACGTAGAGACAACAATTATATTTTAAAATGCATGGCAAAACTGAGACACGTCTACTGATGAAGTAAAAAACAAATCGCAATCGATCCGAATCGAGCTTCTCGCATTCATGTACGTTCCGTTATCCTCCATTTCGGTTTTCAGCCGATTGAGAAAATATCACAGTTCTCACGTATAGTGAAGTGTATGTGCACCACACGAATCGAATTGATTTACCATAAAGAAATAATCTGTATATTTCATATGCAGGGTGTTCCTGGATGACTCGAAACTTTTGCTGTTTAATATTTTTAAATTATAAAAGTGAATGTGGTCAATTTAAAAAAAAAAAAAATAAATAAACGAATAATGCTGAAAATCCATTATTTTTGCACAAAACATCATTGACATTACCTTGGAAATGTTTTTCGTTGATTTTAACAATTGTCGTTTGAGCTGCATGTGTAAATGAATGCATTATAAATAAATATACTCGTAACTTAATATCCTCGAAACCATACGAGGACTATGCGCTTTCTTCAATAGAACATTTTTTTTTTTTATTTAAGATAAAATTGTACCAGTTCCATTCTTAAAGACCGAGAAATATTTCCCAGCCAATGCCGGATAATTATTCAACTAGTAAAATATAAAATACGTACGCGAAGGCGCAACATTAAACACATGTGATCAGAATATTATACTCGTTCGATTGCGATCGTTAATGTTTAATTAATGAAAATAATAATATATTCAATTTTACCCGGCTGTACCGAGTGTACAATTTGAATTTAAATACGCATATAATACCAAAATTGATCCATCAGACTTGTACAGAAATTATTATTTTTTAATTAATTCCAGTCTGAGCGCAAACGACCATCTAGGCGTTCCGTTTATGCAACGTTCGTTTTATTCATGGTGTTCCGTTGCGATTGAATTAAATATTCTTACAAACCATAATGTAGTGCTGTCCAAATTAAAATTCAAAACTTTGTTTGCGACATGCAGATGGTTTGCAATTAAACAAAAATTAAAAAAAGAGCGTTATATAGCTTATAACGCTTATAGCCTTATACACGGGGGTAAACGCGTGTTAAACGGTGTCATCATTTGGATACTCGAAGAAAGGAAAACTAAATTTCATTAAAACTTTGATCTAGAAAAACATAAAGGCGTAAGAAAAATACGAATATGGCAATAATTATTCGTTCAAATAGTATAAAATATAATTGTTTTAAATACATTTGTTCCACAACAGTCGATAGTCACTATTCACTAATAATTATTATTAATTATTAATTATAAATAATTATTCGAACGAGTTGGTTAATTATTACACACAATTTTTATAATGGTTTATGATATGTTTATAATACGTTAATAATACGTTTATAATACCATTTTCGATGATCATTGAACACTTCGGAATACCTAAAAACGGTACCAGAAGTAACGTGACGTTTATAATACGTTTATAATAGTCCATTGTGTCTTGATAAAAATATGAAACAGACCCAAATGTCTTTGTGCCGGATATTCTAAAATTATCTGTCAAAAACGGTTTTATGAATTATTAAAAGTTTAATATTTATACAAGTTTACAATTGAAAGACTAGCAAAATGAATTTTTTAGAGTTTTAAAAGGAAAACTTGATATGTCTCGAATGTACTTCCATCCGATGCTCCACAACCACCGTTCACGGCGCTGTTTTCAAACGCGAGGACGCAAAACAACTTACGCA